CGTCCTGGGGAAGACGGCGCGGTTCCATCACCGAGAAAAAGGAAATGTTTTTCACTGGCATCATAATGGCCCACATAAGCACGTTTACTTTTGGGTGCCTGGAGAAAAGGTGGTGGGGGGTGAAGAGCGGGGAGGAAAAAAAACCCCAAACCCAAAAGAGAGACTCAGAGTAGGAAGAGCAGACTTGAAGTTCCACTCCTGTTGGCTTTATAGAGCTTAAAAAAAAACCATCAGAGTTTAAGAGACAGCGTTTCATTGGTCAGGACACATACTGATGGACACTGTACTTTGTTTTGAGGTTATTGTCCTTGCGAAGGGCTGAGTTCTGCTACAGAGAAAGAAAAGAGAGGTCTGTATTAAAGAAAATTGGCTTTATTGTAAACAAAGTATAAAGTACAACATAGGAAATGTGCAAATCTTTAAAGTAGTCACAAAAAGCGTATCTACTACACTACTTTCAAACTGTTCACTTTCTGATATGTGTCCTCAACATAATATGATAAAATAGAAATAGCGAAAGTCGATGCATTATTTGTCACAAAAGCTACAGTTCAAATTCTAGGCCGGTGTCTTTGCTGCCTCCTTTTACTTTTTGAATCACAACCTTCTAATTTAAGACAATACATAATATATCCATTTCATTTTTAGTATAAACCGTCTTTCAAAGAATGGCGCGATCAAGAAGCCTAAGATTCTTGGTTTTCTTCCTCAAGCAACCCGCGCAGTTTGCAGTTACAATGTTTCTCTTAAAAGTGCACTGTATCCCTTTACGAAAAACGCAGTGGTACAGAACTGTGAGAAGGTATGAAGGAAACCATACGCAACACAAAAGCAGAAGCATCGTACGATGCCCAGGTACAACCAACTGTAATAATCACAAAGCTTGCCAAAGAAGCTGGGGAAATACTACAAAGCCGAGGAGGATCCAGAAACGTTCCGACCCTCCAACTGCCCACGCGGTGCCCCTTAACACCCGCTCCAAGCCCCTCGGACTGCAAGGTAAAGCCGGGCGTGTTGAACGCCCCGTGCGGGAGGATAGGTCTAAAATCTCCAGGAGTTTGGCACCAAATCATCACCTATGACTGGGCCGGAGAACAGATAGGAGGAAAAGATTCCTACCAAGAAAAGGTGGCAGAAGTAGGAAAACCCGTTTAGATTATCTCACGCAGGTGCGTTGTGGGCTTTCAAGCCTGCGCCCGTACGCTGCCGTCTTCCTAGTCTGTGCTGTACTGAAGATTGACAACTGAAAGTTAAAACCAGAGCTGGTCTCAAGCGTCAGCAGCAAGCCTTCAGTAACACTTGGGCATGGCTGATCTAGAGAATATATGAATAGTTTGCAAAATTCAAAACGGGCACAAGGTGTGCTGCTCTGCTCTAGAACCTTCCCTCCCTCCCTCTCTCTCCTCACCAGTGCAAAAGACACCCGCTACTCCAGTCAGCCACCGGTTCTCCCAGCAATGTTTTTTGTGACGGAGCACAGGCTGCCTCTGCCTCTGCTGCACCGCCATCAGCAGCCGGCGCCCGAGAACCACCGACCGGGAGCAAAAGCCTTTGTTTTAGCTGGCGTATCCCAGCGACAACAGTTAATTCCACCGTCTTCAGAGTGAGTCCTTTCACTGCGCGGTCGCAGATGCCGGCGGCACGGCAATATCGTTTAACTTGCTCACTTCCATTTGCCAGTTTGGCAATTTCTTAGCCGATAAGTGGCGGCGCGCATGTTTCGTTAAGTGGTCGCTCCTCATGAACCGCCGCTCGCACATCGGGCAGGCAAACTTCTTCTCCCCGGTGTGCGTTCTGCGATGGCGAGACAGTTCATCAGACCGTGCAAACCTCCTCTCACAGCCTTTCCAACTACAACTAAACGGCTTTTCTCCTAAAAGAAAAAAAAAAAGACAAAGAAAAAAACCCCGTGAGTACTAACCAAGCAACAAACACTACTGGCAGGATTTGATTTTTTAAAGAAAAGTTTCTATTACAACTGTTGAGCCAAAAATCTGCACAAATATTATTTTTATATATATGAAATGTGAAAAATCGTTCACATACCAATATTTAAACATGCAGACTCACTATCCTCAAGGCTAAGTAGTACAAAGGGTTAGCAACTCTCTGGAACCAAATAGTTTGGGATGCTCTTTACATCTCCAGACAGCTGATTTTAACTCTCAGCTCTGCATGAGCTGCAGATCACGATGACTTTGCATTCCCCCGAACTACCCTCTGAAATGCAACCTGTAATATTTTATGTAACGGAGCTCTGGTAGTGCACTGTGAGCCAATGAGAAAATACACATGACTCTCCCCGCTACTGCAACTAAAAGCTGAGGTGTGGAGATGTTACTCTAAAATAACCACGGTAGGAATAGTTTGGAGTGGATCCTTATATTCTTTCACAAAAGAATCTCTTTAAGTTTTACCCACTTCTGACAAAGGCATTCTTGTGCAGAAGCCTAGTAAGGCGTCTAACTCGGGAAAGCACACTCTATGTTGGGCAAGGCCTTGCTTCCACTCTGGTAAGAAGCATTACTGAACGCCGTCTGACATGAAGCAAGTCCAGTACAAACAAACTGCTGAGTCAACTTCCCCTCCGGGAGATTTCCTGTCAGAGATCAGGCAGCGTTATAACACACAACGCTGGCAAAAGAAAGTATTTCATTGCCGCCCTACAATTTGTTCCACGAACAAATCTGGCAATCACTAGAACCTTAACAAGTTGTGTATATAGCCGCAATTTCGCAATTTTCTGCATTCATTTTTACCATCCCAGCAACAGCGACTAACCTGTGTGCGTTCTGACGTGAGCCTTCAGATGGGAGCTCTTGAAGTACGTCTTCCCGCACCCTGGGTAGCTGCAAATGTGACTTCTTATTCTTGAAGAATCAACCGGTGGAGTGGTTTTTGCCGCAGAAGGCACGAAGCCGGGAGCAGGGGCAATGGGAGAGAGTCTCGTGCCGTTCGGACTAACAATGGGAGCCTTTGTGCTCTGCACAACCGGCTGGGGCACAACAAACATAACAGCACCTTTGGGAACTTGGGTGCCCATGAAGACCATGGGCTGACAGAGGGCCGGCTGCTGGCTCGGCGTGGTGCTGGGCACTACGGCCGTCACGACGTTGTTGTTCGCGGGCAGCGGGACCATCTGGCAAATCACTGGCACGGGGGGAGCTCCGCTGCCTTGGGCAGAGCACGGCGGTGCCACCGCCGCCGACTGCTGCGCCGACCCGGGGACGGGCTGACGTCTGCTGACCGAGGGCTTCGTCAAGGGCACCGGACTGACAGCTGGTTCTGCGGTTTTTCCCTCTGCCGCCGGCAGTTCGCCGCTCTCATCGCTGGCTCTGCTGGGCGCCACGGCGGAACACAGCGAATGCTCTGCTTCGGCGCTTTGTTTACTGTTTGTTTCCCTCGAAACGCTGTCCTGGTATTTCAGCACGCTGGCTGTTCTCACCGGGCAGGTTTTGCGATTACAAAGCTGGGCATCGGCCGTGTGGCGGGTAACGCCCGCCGCTTGAGCGTTCGGGGGGCCC